CGTATAAAATAGAAGCATGGTCACGACCTAAAGGAGAGAGTTTGAGTGGAGATTGATAAAGATCAGACATATTAGTTATAATTTTATCTAGACACGTGTTATCGCGAGTTGGAAAACCAATAACCTGGTCGAGACAAGTCTGGTCAATTAAGGGGTTAACATCATAATCATTGAAGTCACCCATTATCAAAAATGAGGCATCATCCCTTAAACTTGATCAATGATCAATTTTAGAACACAAGAATTCAGTAAGCAGCTGATGCTGGTTACAGTTGGGGGGATAATAAACAACAATGGCGAGAATAGAAGAAGTATGACTGACCTTAACATCGACACAGAGACACTCAAGATCATCAGGGCAATCATTCTCCAATTTGTAGTCATACATTTCATTAATATATAACGCCACACCACCATCAATGTGACTACTTCTATCTTTCCGAATACATGAGTAACCCCCAACAGCTGAACATTCGATAGTAAAATTAGAATGAAACCAGGATTCAGTTCTACCTGCAATACCTATATTGTTGTCCCTTAATATTAGTTCAAACTCACTCATCTTATTACACAAAGAACGTGCATTGGCCAAATATACGCTAGGTTGAAATTTCCTAATTTTAGCCACGGGTTGAATAGGAATTAACACTCTAGGACCCCTTAGAAAACCAGTATTAACTGAGTTATAACTCTGCTAACATGCACTGGTATTTTCTTATGCATATGAGAACCAGCCCGTCGTCCCCTTTTACGTTTAAAGATAGCATTAGGAGACCTAAAATTATTCTTTAAATTTAAAGGCATAGTCCTTAATAATATTCGAGAAATTATGAAGAAAATATCAAATCCCAATCAAAACATTACAAGCAAAGAGAGCCAAGCCCAGTAAGTTCAAGACAAGCAAGGAATTGAAGTGACCAAGAGCAATTGTTCTCCCCTAGAGAACACGACAAAAACAATAGAATCTAAGTTGCAGGGCCTAGTAAAAACAATAAGAAAACTCACCAAACACCACAAAAATGCACCAAACGAGAAAGTACAGAGGCACAAAAAGTAATAAAGAACTCGACAAAGATCACACCAAGCATAAATTATTAGAAGAAAAAAGACAATTAACCGAATTAACAAGAAGTGCGAGGCAGACAGCTACCCAGCGCCAGGTCACCAGTGAAAAATAATAAATAATGTATAAAATCATATATAAATATATATATTCATATTTATGAACTGTGCAGGGACATCAAAGAAAACTAAAGATTTAAAGTGAAGAATGATAATGTGTGTATTATACGTTTATTTCTTTAATTGTGTTTCCCTCAATTCTCTTGGTATGTTTTATCCAAACTCTGAAAGCTGCAAGAAAAATAAATAAATTTATTGTATAGAAACATCGGATTAAATAATGTAATGATTATTGTTTTAACTAAATTATGAAATAGATTTAAGATGGTAACAACATTCAATTAAAATCAAAGATACCTTTTATTGACCATAATTATTAAATTATAGTATGAAAATGCAACAAAAAGAATTACATGAAGCACATACTAAACTCCATGGAAGAAAGAAAATATGTTAGTAGAAAAATAGCAAACCGGAAATAAAATAAAAATACTTAGGCCTATGATAAACCGATTGACTAACTAATTATAATGATATAAGGCCTAGTCTAGCATATTAAATTTTGCGTTTTCGCAACTCCTTCGGCGCTCCATATATTTGATCGAAATAAACCGCGACCGAAACGAAGCGCGACCGAAATGATCGGCTACCAAATAGACTACCATCAGCAGCAATTACCAACAAAGGTGATTTTCTTTTTGTACATCTAGCTGGGCTGGCCTATACCATATTTTGAGATCGCAAAAAAACAAAAAACACCATAATTTTCTGGACTATACTTACCGAATATACGTTTTATTGGAAGAGATATTCTTACCTCTACGACGAGGAAAATTTATCCCAAGTGAGCAAGAAATGCTTTAGAAATGATTCCATGCCAATCAGTTCTGATCCTTTACTGAAAGCTTATCAGTTATCACACAAATACTATGGCTATAATTGTTAACATTTTGAGGATATTCGCAAGCCAAAAAATTGAACATCTATGTTGTTATTAAATGGGTTGGATTTATACAAATTACAAATTGTTTATTGAAAATAAACAAAAAGCAACTTACGAAGTTCAGGCCAGCCAAGTCTGCCAACCGTCTTGCGGCTGAATGAATGAAGAAAATCGTACGAACTGAAGTTCGTTTGGTCGTTGTTGATTGGATAATTACTTCACATAATTTTTTGGGCCAAACCCCACGCGCGATTATCTACTACGGAAATTGTATTCCATCGTCTGCACTTGGTTCCTGTACTTTGCAATATCTTCGTTCCCGTACTTACATAGCAGGTTAACCGACCGCGGGCGTCAGATAGAAAAAGATTGCTATCGCAAACTGATTTTTTCATGATGACGATGATGACGATGATAGTGATGGCAATGGATGAGAGTAGGTTGATGAAGAGGACGATGATGATGATGAAGACCATTATGACGATGATGATGATGACGACGACGACTAAATGAGACAAGCCTACTCAGTGAGTCATGGATCACATTATATAATAAATACGATTCGCATCCTTGTTATAAAAAAATATTTGTAAGTATTTATGTTATCATGTTGAGATAAAAATCAATGTAATTCAGTACCAAGAAATAAAATAGTATTGTGCTAATTGTTTGTTTTTTTTTTTTATTTCAGAAATCAAATAATTTTTTCCAGGTACCAATTTTTAATTTTGTAAACATTAGTAGGCCTACATCTAAAATGAAAAATTAAAACGAGATTTTCTTGGACAGTTAACTATAGATCTTACTAAAATTGGATAGTATGTAGGCTGTCTCTTATACACATCTAGATGTGTATAAGAGACAGGTTCAAGACAAGCAAGGAATTGAAGTGACCAAGAGCAATTGTTCTCCCCTAGAGAACACGACAAAAACAATAGAATCTAAGTTGCAGGGCCTAGTAAAAACAATAAGAAAACTCACCAAACACCACAAAAATGCACCAAACGAGAAAGTACAGAGGCACAAAAAGTAATAAAGAACTCGACAAAGACCACACCAAGCATAAATTATTAAGAAAAAAGACAATTAACCGAATTAACAAGAAGTGCGAGGCAGACAGCTACCCAGCGCCAGGTCACCAGTGAAAAATAATAAATAATGGGTTTCAAATTCTTATTTACTGTAATCGATTTTAGAGGCTACTATTTATGTAGAAAATACACAATTTTGTTGTTCTCCCCTGACGGGGAAGGGGGTTGCCCTTCCCACCTGTGTAATATATATAATAGTTTTTGAAGAACGGTTGGGTAAGATGCGTTGCATATTATTATAAATATTAATGTGTACAGTATTATATGCCATTCAGTAGAAGAGCATCCATTGGCTATATCATAAAAACCAGGCTTGGCTTGGCTATGCCAGGCCAGCGGCTATGATAAGTTATGATAAGGTAGACTATGATAATAATAACTGTAATAATAGCAGCATACATCAATGATAGGAACCAATAATAATTATTATTAAATTGGCAAGACTAGAGCGTTCGCCGCGGTCTAAGATGACAGAAATCTCATCAAAAATATGTAAACACGAGACACTAACTACAAATCCAACAAAGAGCATGCATGCGCAAATTAGCTTTTTGCTTGCGTTGCGGCCCTTGCGTTGCGAAAAGTTGAATTGATTCAACCCTCGCTTTGCGTCCAAGTGGTGTCGATGAGGAAGGAATACCAAAGGAAATTGTATCCGATAA